AAAGTTTTATGGTTGAGAGGGATGAGGCAAAAGAGATGGCAAATAGGTCTGACTGTACAACCGATTAGCAAACGTAATGCAAATTGAGAAATCATGTGACTAAACTGAATAAAAATAAGAAGAAATGACACTATGAAACAAAGATAAATGACATAAAGAATTATAGAAAAAAGCTTTGGAGCACCTTAAATGAAATTTTGGGCAGAAAGGCAAACTCTGCTCCATCATTCATTGAATCAGATGGGTCATTCAGCACAAAACCCACAGATATTGCGAACTACTTGAGTATTTGTTTTGTCATTGGCAAGATTAGCAAACTTAGGCATGACATGCCAGCAACAAATGCTGACACTACACATCCATGTATATCTGACCAAATTATGAAAGACAAACATTGTAATTTGGATTCCGTAAAGTAAGTGTGGAAGAGGTGAAAAAATAATTATTGTCGATCAACAATGACAAGCCACCGGGGTCTGACTGAAGATAATAGCGGACGATATTGGCACTCCTATTTGCCATATCTTCAATTTAAGCCTACTAGAAAGTGTGTGCCCTCGGGCCTGGAGGGAAGCAAAAGTTATTCCCCTACCTAAGAATAGTAAAGCCCCCTTAAGTGGCTCAAATAGCCGACCAATCAGCCTGTTACCAACCCTTAGTAAACTTTTGGAAAAAAGTGTGTTTGACCAGATAAAATGCTATTTTACAGTAAACAAATTGACAACAGACTTTCAGCACGCTTATAGGGAAGGACATTCAACAAGCACTGCACTGACACAAATAACTGATGATTGGCTGAGAGAAATTGATGATAAAAAGATTGTGGGGGCTGTTTTGTGAGACTTCAGTGCGGCTTTTGACATTATCGATCATAGTCTGTTGCTGGAAAACATATGTGTTATGGCTTCACACCCCTGCTATATTGTGGATGAAGAGTTACCTGTCTAACAGAACACAGAGGGTGTTCTTTAATGTAAGCCTCTCCAACAAAATACAGGTAGAATCAGGAATTCCCCAGGGCAGCTGTCTGGGCCCCTTACTTTTTCAATCTTTACTAATGACATGCCACTGGCTTTGAGTAAAGCCAGTGTGTCTATGTATGCGGATGACTCAACACTATACATGTCAGCTAGTTTTGTTTGATAAAATCCATTGTTATATTCAAATGTAGGAACTGGGTTCTACAGTTTGAACCCTTGCTGTCTCTGGCTCCACACCCACCCCACCCGGCCATCTAGATGTGTGAAAGTTAGTGTATAAGCTAATGATCCATCATGTATGACATTCCTGGGAGTGTGTAAACTTACATTTTGCATTACCGTATCATTTTTATATGTTCTCTATAGTTATGTACATGAAAATGTATCAATTGACCAATTCAGCACATTTGGGCAGACTTGATACAAAATAGTCCAGTATTGCAATGTCTCACTGGATCAGTCCCGTGTAGCTCAGTTGGTAGAGCATGGCGTTTGCAACACCAGGGTTGTAGGTTCGTTTCCCACGGGGGGCCAGTATGAAAATGTATGCACTCACTAACTGTAAGTCGCTCTGGATAAGAGTGTCTGCTAAATGACTGAAATGTAAAATCAGTCTGAAACTTTGCACACACACTGTTGCCATCTACTGGCCAACATCTATATTGTGCCTAAACTGCAATATTATATTGTGGCCTTTCTATTGCATTTCAAAGATGATGGAACAAAAAAAAAGAAAAGAAAACGTTTTTTTTGTTTGTATTATCTTTTACCAGATCTAATGTGTTATACCTCCTACAAAGCTATTCGCTCCTCTGGCACCCCAATGGTGGAACAAGCTCCTCCACGACGCCAGGACAGCGGAGTCACTGACCACCTTCCGGAGACACTTGAAACCCTACCTCTTTAAGGAATACCTGGAATAGTCTAACAGTAATCCTTCTACACATTTACATTTTACATTTACGTCATTTAGCAGACGCTCTTATCCAGAGCGACTTACAAATAGGTGCATTCACTTTATAGCCAGTGGGATAACCACTTTACAATTATTATTATTATTATTATTATTTGGGGGGGGGGGGGGGGTAGAAGGATTACTTTATCCTATCCCAGGTATTCCTTAAAGAGGTGGGGTTTCAAATGTCTCCGGAAGGTGGTGAGTGACTCCGCTGTCCTGGCGTCGTGAGGGAGCTTGTTCCACCATTGGGGTGCCAGAGCAGCGAACAGTTTTGACTGGGCTGAGCGGGAACTATGCTTCCGCAGAGGTAGGGGAGCCAGCAGGCCAGAGGTGGATGAACGCAGTGCCCTAATTTGGGTGTAGGGACTGATCAGAGCCTGAAGGTACGGAGGTGCCGTTCCCCTCACAGCTCCGTAGGGAAGCACCATGGTCTTGTAGCAGATGCGAGCTTCAACTGGAAGCCATTGGAGTGTGCGGAGGAGCGGGGTGACGTGAGAGAACTTGGGAAGGTTGAACACCAGACGGGCTGCGGCATTCTGGATGAGTTGTAGGGGTTTAATGGCACAGGCAGGGAGCCCAGCCAACAGCGAGTTGCAGTAATCCAGACGGGAGATGACAAGTGCCTGGATTAGGACCTGTGCCGCTTCCTGTGTAAGGCAGGGTCGTACTCTGCGAATGTTGTAGAGCATGAACCTACAGGATCGGGTCACCGCCTTGATGTTAGCGGAGAACGACAGGGTGTTGTCCAGGGTCACGCCAAGGCTCTTCGCACTCTGGGAGGAGGACACAACGGAGTTGTCAACCGTGATGGCGAGATCATGGAACGGGCAGTCCTTCCCCGGGAGGAAGAGCAGCTCCGTCTTGCCAAGGTTCAGCTTGAGGTGGTGATCCGTCATCCATACTGATATGTCTGCCAGACATGCAGAGATGCGATTCGCCACCTTGTTATCAGAAGGGGGAAAGGAGAAGATTAGTTGTGTATCGTCAGCGTAGCAATGATAGGAGAGGCCATGTGAGGATATGACAGAGCCAAGTGACTTGGTGTATAGCGAGAATAGGAGAGGGCCTAGAACTGAGCCCTGGGGGACACCAGTGGTGAGAGCACGTGGTGCGGAGACAGCTTCTCGCCACGCCACTTGGTAGGAGCGACCGGTCAGGTAGGACGCAATCCAAGAGTGAGCCGCGCCGGAGATGCCCAGCTCGGAGAGGGTTGAGAGGAGGATCTGATGGTTCACAGTATCAAAGGCAGCAGACAGGTCTAGAAGGACAAGAGCAGAGGAGAGAGAGTTAGCTTTAGCAGTGCGGTGATCCTCCGTGACACAGAGAAGAGCAGTCTCAGTTGAATGACCAGTCTTGAAACCTGACTGGTTTGGATCAAGAAGGTCATTCTGAGAGAGATAGCAAGAGAGTTGGCTAAAGACGGTACGCTCAATAGTTTTGGAGAGAAAAGAAAGAAGGGATACTGGTCTGTAGTTGTTGACATCAGAGGGATCGAGTGTTGGTTTTTTGAGAAGGGGTGCAACTCTCGCTCTCTTGAAGACGGAAGGGACATAGCCAGCGGTCAAGGATGAGTTGATCAGCGAGGTGAGGTAAGGGAGAAGGTCACCGGAGATGGTCTGGAGAAGAGAGGAGGGGATAGGGTCAAGCGGGCAGGTTGTTGGGCGGCCTGTCGTCACAAGTCGCAAGATTTTATCTGGAGAGAGAGGGGAGAAAGAAGTCAAACTATAGGGTAGGGCAGTGTGAGCAGGACCAGCAGTGTCATTTGACTTAACAAACGAGGATCGGATGTCGTCAACCTTCTTTTCAAAATGGTTGACGAAGTCATCCACAGAGGGGGGGGGGGGGGAGGATTCAGCAGGGAGGAGAATGTGGCAAAGAGCTTCCTAGGGTTAGAGGCAGATGCTTGGAATTTAGAGTGGTAGAAAGTGGCCTTAGCAGCTGAAACAGATGAAGAAAATGTAGAGAGGAGGGAGTGAAAAGATGCCAGGTCCGCAGGGAGTCTAGTTTTCTTCCATTTCCGCTCAGCTGCCCGGAGCTCTGTTCTGTGAGCTCGCAATGAGTCATCAAGCCACGGAGCTGGAGGGGAGGACCGAGCCGGCCGGGAGGATAGGGGACATAGAGAGTCAAAGGATGCAGAAAGGGAGGAGAGGAGGGTTGAGGAGGCAGAATCAGGAGATTGGAGGGAGAAGGATTGAGCAGAGGGAAGAGATGATAGGATGGAAGAGGAGAGAGTAGCGGGAGAGAGAGAGCGAAGGTTGCGACGGCGCATTACCATCTGTGTAGGGGCAGAGTGAGTAGTGTTGGAGGAGAGGGAGAGAGAAAAGGATACAAAGTAGTGGTCGGAGACTTGGAGGGGAGTTGCAGTGAGATTAGTAGAAGAACAGCATCTAGTAAAGATGAGGTCAAGCGTATTGCCTGCCTTGTGAGTAGGGGGGGACGGTGAGAGGGTGAGGTCAAAAGAGGAGAGGAGTGGAAAGAAGGAGGCAGAGAGAAAGGAGTCAAATGTAGACGTAGGGAGGTTGAAATCCCCCAGAACTGTGAGGGGTGAGCCATCCTCAGGAAAGGAACTTATCAAGGCGTCAAGCTCATTGATGCACTCTCCAAGGGAACCTGGAGGGCGATAGATGACAAGGATATTAAGCTTAAATGGGCTAGTGACTGTGACAGCATGGAATTCAAATGAGGAAATAGACAGATGGGTCAGGGGAAAAATTGAGAATGTCCACTTGGGAGAGATGAGGATTCCTGTGCCACCACCCCTCCCCCAGTGGTGGTTGTCCCACTGGCTATCCTAAGTTGAATGCACCAATTTGTAAGTCACTCTGGATAAGAGCGTCTGCTAAATGACTTAAATGTAAATGTACATTAATTTACTTCAAAGTGTTTCCTTTCAAATGGTATCAATAATATGCATATCCTTCCTTCAGGTCCTGAGCTACAGGCAGTTAGATTTTGGTATGTCATTTTAGGCGAAAATTGAAAAAAAGGGTCCGATCCTTAAGAGGTTAAACAGGCAGCCCAATTCTGAATTTTTGCCCAATTATGGGCAAAAGAGCTGACCTGATTGGTCAAAAGACCAATTTGTGGGAAAAAAGGATCAGAATTGGGCTGCCTGTGTAAACGCAGCCAGAGAGCAAGTGCGACTACATTATTAACTTTCCCTTCTCTTCAAAGGTCACCTCACTCTTCACCTTCCATAAACTACCGTACCAGGTCTGGCTCATGATGGTGAAGAGGCGTATGTTTCCTCTACTGATAGCTTCTGCTCTGGCAGTCATGGTCTACATCATCTTCACATTGTCCAGGTACCGTGAAGACTGCCGTACGATCAAGAAACTAAATAAAAGTGGTAAAAGGAAAAAATTGTCTTGGACACACATTTCTGCTGTAGAAATACAACATCTGTCCATGATTCCTCAGGTCACAGCCAGGCAACCACCAGCACCTCTATCCGCGCCACATCTCTGACCAGTCCATCACGCCTGTCAACGACACCAAACACTTCATGGTGGGGGCCTACAAGGAACATCGTGTGACGGGATGCTCCGTACGCATCATCAGTATCTTCAGACGAGACTCTGTCCAGCCTCTGTACTGTGTGTTCTACTGTGGGACTCACTGGGCTAATGGAACGAAGGCTGAAGTCCAGATGCACTCTGACCACTTTGGTACCTGCTATTTGCTATTTGGTTTTAGCCCTGCACTGACACACCTGAATCAACACCTGAATTAATGAAATAAGGGGCTTGGTGATTCGCTGATTAGTTTGTTGATTTAGTTTTCCCTATACTGTAAATATATGTGTCCCTGTTCTGTATTGGGATAAAGGTTTCCCCTTCGTGACGACCGACGTCCTTTGTCCGAATCTTCCCGACTGCAACCCGTCACACGTGACCCTCGCCACACAAGCTGACGCCAAGCTCGCTCGGAACCAATCCTTCCTCCGCATCCAGAACCTTGTGAAAATGGAGGAAGAGGAGTTTCAATTCAACTTCACTGTCTGTTGGTCCAATTTATTTGGTGATTATAACAACGTGCTTCAGGTCACCCAGACTCTGGAGATGTACAAGTGGGTATTGATTGAGTGATTGTTTGGTTGGTTGATTGATTGATCGATTAATCAACTGGTTGATTGATTGATTAATGAATTGCTATATTGCAGGTTGTTGGGAGTGCAGCATGTTGTGGTGTATAACACCAGCTGTGGACCAGACCTGGAGAGACTGCTACAGAGTTATACACAGGAGGGCTTTGTGGAGGTAGGAATTGATTGATTTGATGGATGGATTGATAGATAGATAGGATTAATTAATTGACTAATTGATTGACTGCAGGTGGTGCCCTGGCCTATCGACCAACACATGAGCCCGTCCCGTGGGTGGCAACCCATTGAACATGGAGGGGACATCCACTACTACGGCCAGTTGACCACTCTGAATGACTGTGTCTACAGACATATGTATCAGTCACGCTATGTACTGCTGAACGACATAGATGAGATTATAACTCCATACCAGCATCAAACCCTGCCCCAGATGATGGATGTACTTCAGAAGCAACACCCAAAGGTAGGGGGAGGACTCAGGGAAGTAGTGTGTATGTGTGTTAAGGAAGATCATTATGTGTGTAGTGTGCATGATAGGCTGTGTTTACACAGGCATCCCAATTCAGAATTTTTTGCCAATTATTTGGCATATCTGATACAAATCCGATAATGTGTAAACAGGAATTTCTGATCTTTGGTGTTTTTGGTTTTTAATAGTTTTTTGGGCCAATCACATCAGATCTTCTCACAGCAGATATTTTTTAGAACTGAACTGATTGGTCAAAAGACCAATTAGTGAAAAAAGATCTGAATTGGGCTGACTGTAAACGCAGCCATGGAATCTTACCTTTTGAGTTCTGATACCACATTCGTCTGTGGTTCTCATCCTCAGTCTGGATGTTCAGATCAGAATTGTTGTGCTCTGAAGTGTTTGTTTTTGCACATGACCTGCCGTTACCAAGATAACCACCCCAACATTTAAAGAAACAGTGACAGGAAATGAGCATTGTGTTTGCGTGCTATTTCGTATGCTACATCAGTGTGAATGTGCAAATCTGATATGGGTCAAAACACAATAAAAGTGTGGACAGTGAGAAAAATAGATTGGATATGAAGGAAAAAAATCTGAATTCATTCTCTCTCTTTCGCCTTCTCTCACTCCACCCGCATCTCCCCAGGCCGAAGTGTTCCTCATAGAGAACCACATCTTCCCTAAGTCCCAGTTTGAGCCCAGTGGAAAGTTTGAACGGCCCCGCTGGAGGGATGTTCCAGGGATCAACATCATGGAGCACATCTACAGAGAGGAGCCAGACTATCGCATCTACCACCCTTCCAAGATGATAGTACGGCCCAGGTTAGAATCTACCACCCCTCCAAGATGATAGTACGGCCCAGGTTAGAATCTACCACTCCTCCAAGATGATAGTACGGCCCAGGTTAGAATCTACCACCCCTCCAAGATGATAGTATGGCCCAGAGTAGTATACTAAGAAGCTAGCTAGATATACTCAGGGTTTTCTAAAGCTAGCCAGCTTCAGTTAGCTTCACCTTCCAGCTCAGGCTTCATCAGTATTACAGACTTGTAACTGCGCATGCATGTCACACGTGGCTAGTCGAACGCCAAACTCTTCATAAACCCCTTTCTGTGTTTGCAAGCAATGTCCTGCTTAACATAATGTGTGTGTCATCATCGCAAATCAACTGCATTACACTTAAAAAACACTTCAACTTCAACCAGTTAAATGGCTATTTTTCTAGCTTTTGCTACAGCCTATGTAAATGAGCGTTAGCATTCTAGCTAACAACTGCTGCATCCAAAATAGTTATTTTGCAAAGATCACAACCAAATATAATCTTAGCGGCTGTTCAAGCAATAATCAAACGTCATTGTAACCCCAAAAAGTTATTTTGTTTAGAAGTAATAAAAACGTACTATGATGAATGGGCGCAGATGGCGATGGCTTTCTTACTGCAGCCAAGAGTCGTGCGCATCTGTGCGTGACGTCAGTGTGTCGTATAAAGGTGTATATTAAGACAATGCTGAAACATAAATCCATGGGCGAGTCAGTGTCACATTTTCATTATTTCCTAAATCAACATGAAAGAAAAGCTATCTTGCAAATTCAGCAGGTGATGTTGTGAAAAAGGTCATTAGAAGTTCTCTCTTTGTTTTATTACGTATCGTTAATGCCGTCTTTGGTGTGCTTATCAATGCACACGCACCTTTTTTCTCACTCTTATCGATAAAATAATTGTATAAAGTCATACAAAAGTTATACTGTGTGTGAAGTTTCAAATGCAGCCAGTCATTACTTAATGTGTAATGTGATAAGTATTTTAATATTACGATTATTTTACACAAAAAAAATACATTTGATTAATACAATATTTAATCAGTGGTCTTCTTCAAATGAAAGGGATGATGGGAACCTGATTTCATTGGTCCTCAACTCACGACTAAGACATTTCATTCAGGATAAGTAGAGTTAGCCCTGAGTTTGCCTGCCCCAGAGCAGGTTAGTTCTGAAGGATTCGTTGCCATAGAAATGTACCTGGCTAAAAGGTGAGCCACATTTGTGTTAGTGGTTATCTCAAGTTGAACTCAGAGTTCGTAGTATAGGGCTCTGGTTAGAATCTACCACCCCTACAAGATGAAAGTACGACCCAGGTTAGAATAGAATAGAACCTCTGTCTAACAACCCTTCTGTGTCTCTGACTCCAGGGCAGTGGAGCAGACGTCGGTCCACTCTGTCTAACAACCCTTCTGTGTCTCTGACCCCAGGGCAGTGGAGCAGACGTCGGTCCACTCTGTCTAACAACCCTTCTGTGTCTCTGACCCCAGGGCAGTGGAGCAGACGTCGGTCCACTCTGTCTAACAACCCTTCTGTGTCTCTGACCCCAGGGCAGTGGAGCAGACGTCGTTCCACTCTGTCTAACAACCCTTCTGTGTCTCTGACCCCAGGGCAGTGGAGCAGACGTCGTTCCACTCTGTCTAACAACCCTTCTGTGTCTCTGACCCCAGGGCAGTGGAGCAGACGTCAGTCCACTCTGTCTAACAACCCTTCTGTGTCTCTGACCCCAGGGCAGTGGAGCAGACGTCAGTCCACTCTGTCTAACAACCCCTTTGTGTCTCTGACCTCAGGGCAGTGGAGCAGACGTCGGTCCACTCTGTGCTGCGTAACTTCGGCCAGACAGTGAAGGTTCCTCCTGATGTGTGTCATATCATCCATGTCAGAGTTCCCCTACGAGGACGACTGACCAAGAAAGAGCTGCATGAAGACAAGAGGGTCTGGGACTATGAGAGACAACTGGTGCCTAATGTTGATAAAGCACTAGATCAAGCAGGACTACTAATCTGAGGGTAGGAAGGAAGGAAGGAAGGAAGGAAGGAAGGAAGGAAGGAAGGAAGGAAGGAAGGAAGGAAGGAAGGAAGGAAGGAAGGAAGGAAGGAAGGAAGGAAGGAAGGAAGGAAGGAAGGAAGGAAGGAAGGAAGGAAGGAAGGAAGGAAGGAAGGAAGGAGTAGTCAGAAATGGAAGACAAAGTGATACATCCCACTCAGTAATTTTTTCTGGTTCATATACATTCAATGAACTAATCAGACAAGACCCAGCTGCTATCACATTGGTGCCTATTGGTGCCTATTCTTGAGCAGACCAGAACTGTGACATTATTTTTCAATGGTAAACAGCCGGATAGGGTGACCAGATGTCCCCGATTTCTGGGGACAGTACCAGAGTCTGGTGTCCTGGGCTTGAGCTGTCCTGAAAATGTCCCCGATTAGCCCTTAGAAATAAAAAATCAACTCTGAAGTTTAAAAATACATGTCATCTATGCACTTAAATAGCGAATGGAGGACGCTTTTCCCGTGGTTCATTTTTTGTGCCAGCCAGGTAGGCTATACTCCTGTTTTAAAGAGAAGCAATGTGCTTAATATAAGGAAGGTTGAGAAATAGATATAGTAGGCCTAGCCTATAGAATGCTGATGGGATCCTCCTCTTTTTAATAGAGGCCATCACTCTGTTTTCTCACGCAATCGCATAGCCTAAAGAAATGTTGCGCAACATGAGATCATGGGCTCTCATTAAGTGTTTGATTAGATTTGCGATCACATTTGCATTGATGTCAGAGTGATTAGAGGGACAATAGAATTCTGAGTACCAGGCAATTAGCAAGTTTGGTAGGCTTCTAATGACCATCAGCAGCATCAGAGTTTGGAGAAGCCTAATTACCGTGACTAAATGGTCACATAGAATTTGACTGCCATTTTGTATTTAGGTGATAGTCATTTACTCTGTGTAATTCTGTAATGTCACATGTATTTCATGTACACTGTAATTGAGTGTTAATCCTTTAGTCACTAATAAATCTTATTAGTTGAATTGAGTAAATGCATTCCACGTTTTACAGTCATTATTTGATTGACTATTTAGTAGATCTATTGGTAGTTATTAGGGTCTTTCTATAAATAATGGGGCCAATGTGTGACTTTGGGATCAACACTTCAAAATGGGTTGAAACAAAAATAAAAATGATTTTCATGCAGATCCAGATGTGTACTTAGAGAAATAAAAGGGAATACATGCAAATTGGCCCATAACTCCACCTACAGTGCCTTCGGAAAGTATTCAGACCCCTTGACTTTTTCCACATTTTGTTACGTTACAGTCTTATTCTAAAATTGATTAAATAAATAAAAATCCTCAGCAATCTACACACAATATCCCATAATGACAAAGCGAAAACAGGTTTTTAGACATTTTTGCAAATGTATTCTAAATCCAAAACAGAAATACCATATTTACATAAGTATTCAGACCCTTTGCTATGAGACTTGAAAGTGAGCTCAGGTGCATCCTGTTTCCATTAATTATCCTTGAGATGTTTCTACAACTTCATTGGAGTCCACCTGTGGTAAATTCAATTGGTTGGACATGATTTGGAAAGGCACACACCTGTCTATATAAGGTCCCGCAGTTGAAAGTGCATGTCAGAGCAAAAACCACTCCTCAGTAAAAGGCACATGACAGACCGCTTGGAGTTTGCCAAAAGGCACCTAAAGACTCTCAGACCATGAGAAACAAGATTGAACTCTTTGGCCTGAATGCCAAGTGTCACGTCTGGATGAAACCTGACACCATCCCTACGTTGAAGCATGGTGGTGGCAGCATCATGCTTTGGGGATGTTTTTCAGCGGCAGACCCATTTACACTATACACATAGCTTATGCTTCGGTTCCACCTTGACATCCCTGGTCTACTTGCCTCAATAAATGAATGCTAGAACATTGGTCACCAGGATTAGCTATTTGTAACAAGCCTCTTAATAATTGCATAATGGTGCAGGATAGACACGTTCATTATAGTCATACTGAGTTGTGATGCAAGGGTCGCTGCCTTGACTAAGATCCTCCAGAGAAGTACAGGGCCTGTTGCATTTATTCACATAATAATGAAGTCAGATTGATGAATGCAGTTTATTATATTCATCATCATTTTCATTAAATTACAGTATATACAGTATATCCTCTATTTTCATGTTGTGAAAAGTATACTGCAATATACTTCATGAGCATATACTTGATTTTCATATCTCAATAAGTGTACTTCAGTATACATACAAAAAGTATACTTTCTTTTCATGTCTTCAAAACTTTTATTTAGTATACTTACAATAAATATACTAGAATATCATGTACTTCAAATTGTACTTCAGTGTACTAGATTTTCATGTAATGAGTGTGTTTACTAAAAGCAAGACCACCCTAGAAATCTGGAGAAGAATGGCATTTGTTGGTTCTTCAATGAGGAAATGCTTTCCAATATTCAACTACTTGTCTTTTCAAATAAAAAAAATATATCTGAATACTTACTTCGAAATGTATGTGAAAGTAATTGAGATATTTTAAATAGTATTTGATCCCAGGTCTGGTTCCACCTATACAATGCTTTCAGATATACAAAAGTGCTTAGGGGCTAGGGGTTAGGGGCTAGGGCCTAGGGGCTAAGCACTAGACCTCTGGAACAGAAAACATAACAAGTTTAGTTTTTATGCTGAGGCAAATGTCTGTGTAAACAGACAATAAAACACTATATTATCTTAAGTACTCCATTCATGGAAAATCCCATTGGGGTAAATCCCAGTAGTCCTTAAAAGAAATCTCTACTTGTCTGCGTTCAATCAGAGATGAGAGGTTTTTAGAGTAAACAGTGGAAGGGCTGCACCACACTGCCATCAAGTGGCTAAAGCCTGTGTGTGTCTTCCCGTCATCGTTTGCCCAAATCACCCATCTCACCACTCTTCCTCAAGTACTCCTTTTTATGCATTCTATCCAACCCTCACCAATTCATCTCCACTCACCCACACTCTCCCATCTTCCCTAAAAACTACTCAATTTCAAAAACAAACTGCATCATTAGGAAACGATTTATTGAACATTTGCCACCAGACAAACAGTATCAGTTAAACACAGAGACAGCTTCAACCTGGAGCTGTTTCTATCCCTTCATCTTTAAACATCAGGGACAGACTCCTTTTACAAACCCTCCTCTCTCCTCAGTCATGCTCTCTGTAGCTACACACACACAGTGTGGGAATGTTACTTTTTGAATCCCAAACCGATCCCTCCCTAGTCCATCCGTTCCTACCCCCACGTCCAGGAGTCTATTTGGGATTCAGCAACTCTGTGCTTGAAGTTTTTTGTTGTTTTCCTGTCTTCTAATAGAGAGTAGAATAGGGGTGCATCTCAATAATCTAACAAGGTTTCCTCTCCTCGCACAGCTCCCTTCCCTCCCTCTGCACTCATCTGTAAAGAATTGGACAGGTGAAAGGACATACCCAGTAGGGTTAGAACATCATATTGCTTTCTCTTAAGAGAGGGAGACATTTGAGATACACAGTAGGTAGTGAAAGCAGTCTCCGTTTGAAAGCATGATTAAGAAGCTATAGTAGATGTAGGAGGAAGTTGCCCCTAAGCACTGGCACAGGGTCAGATACAGTGAGCTCCAAAAGTATTGGGACAGTGAATTTGTGTGTTGTTTGTTTTGGCTCTGTACTCCAGCACTTTGGATTTGAAATTATACAATGACTATGAGGTTAAAGTGCAGACTGTCATATAATAGAATATGGTTCTAAACACTTCTACATAAATGTGGATGCTACCATGATTACGGATAATCCTGAATGCATTGTGAATAAGGATGAGTGAGAAAGTTACAATGCACAAATATCAAACCCCTAAAACATGCTAACCTCTCACCATTACAATAACAGGGGAGGTTAGCATTTGGGGGGTATAATATTTGTGCGTCTAACTTTCTCACATCATTATTCACAATTTATTCAGGATTATCCATAATCATGGTAGCATCCACATTAATGTACATTAAAACATTCTATTCTTATTTACAATAGAAGTCACTCCAAAATGAAAATACATTATTTACCATTCATTTCTATTGGGCACAAAATAATCTGAAACACAACCAAAACAAACAGCAAATGCATCCAACAAATATGTAGTCACAAGCTTGATGTAGTCATTGTGTGCTATGAATATGGGACCAAATACTTAACTTTTTACTACACATACGTGAATTTGTATCAAATACTTTTGGTCCCCTAAAATGGGGGGGGACTATGTACAAAAAGTGCTGTAATTTCTAAACGGTTCACCCGGTATGGATGAAAATACCCTCAAACTAAAGCTGACAGTCTGCACTTCAACCTCATAGTAATTGTATCATTTCAAATCCAAAGTGCTGGAGTAGAGAGCCAAAACAACAACAAAAATGCAATACTTTTGGAGCTAACTATATTCTTCATCCCAGTAATAGTTAACATTAATATTGGGGAAAGGTAATCTGATCCTAGATATGTGGTTAGGGGCAACTTCTACCTTGAGCCTAATGTAAAGTAATCACATTAATATATATTATCAAAAATGGCAATTAGTCTGATAAACACCTCGTCTCCTCTACTTCTAACAAGACCAGGTGTGCGTTCAACAAGTAGGGCCGGGAAGATACCAGTATCACAATACTCGTTAGTATCGTGGTAAGGAAACAAAACACGAAGCGGATTTAACCTCTTTAGGAAAACAGCCCTAATGTTGGAAACAAATATCATTATGTTGTCACCTTTATTTATTTTCCAAGATATTGCACAGAATATTTTACATACAGCAGGTTTTTAAGGACCAAAGAGTTCTGTCTGCTTCATGTTTTCATTTTTGCCATGGAAAATATATTGTCATACTGGTATTGTCACAGCCCGATCAACAAGATGGTCCCAAAACGTTAAATGTTGATTCAAACAATTAAACAGTACATAGGGATAACTAAAAAAGCTATCACATATTCAAATGTTTTTCAGCTTTTCGCCATTAAACATTCACTAACGTTAGCTAACATTTTAAAAGCTTACGTATTTCACTGCTAACATCAGCCTTGTTGAACGCACCTCAGGCGTATAAATTAAAACTGTCCGATAAAATCAAGCCTATATTTCAATCTGGTAAAAGGTGCTCTACGATCATATGCCTTTTTGAATGTTGCTTCGTTGGAAGATCGGATGGCCTCTCCAAGGCATCCCTACACACACACGTGCAGACAAAGACACAAACACAGGAGAGAGGAGGCTGTCAGTGGACATAGACACCAGCACCAGCATCATAAACAATCTCACACCATAGGGTTAGTTAGAGATCTAATCTTTGTATCTGTCCCATTTTGGCTTCTGTGACAGCACGGGCAGTGCCATTGAGGCTATCTACATTTTGAAGTAGTCAATTTTCTTCTTCTTATTTTGTGTTAAAAAAAAGCATAAACCTTATAATGGTGATTTACCGCCACCTGCAGTGCTGGAGTCTTGAACCAAATCTTGTGTGTCATTCATTTATTGTGGACACTAGATGGCAGTGATACAGTTTAAAGCCATTTACAAACCAGGTGACCCAATTTGATGAAGAAGTCATTGCTCTGATCATTGGCTGATCCCTCCAAACCCATAGGGATCGCCACCCTGTTGTCGACTTGAAAATGGTGGAAGCTCTCAATGGCAATGTCCATGCAAAAACAGGTTATATCCAACTACAACTCTCTAACTATCTCTATGTCTCACACTGACACACACACACACACACCACTAGTGTACCTATATGACGGTCTTGAAGGTCTGCAGAATGAGGTTGGTTTGGTGGATCAGTCTGTTCGCACTGATGAACACGTTGATCGCCCTGGAAACAAGGATGGTTCATTTATATTATTATTTAACAACTGCAAATAAAACAAAAATACACTGTCAGCAAAAAAGTTTTTTCAAAATAGCCCTGATATTTTAAACCTGCTTAAATAATTGGTTTCTCGTGGACATAGTAAAATAAACAGTTAGTAAGAACATTCCCACTACTAATATTCATAGATTTAATGCACACTGAACAAAATATAAACTCAACATCGAATCAAATCAAATGTTATTTCTCACATGCGCCGAATACAACAGGTGTAGACCTTACGGTGAAATGCTTACTTACAAACCCTTAACCAACAATGCAGTTCAAAAAATAGAGTTAAGAAAATATTTACTAAATAAACTAAAGTAAAAAATAAAATAAAATAAAAAGTAACACAATAAAATAATAACGAGGCTATATACAGGGCGTACCGGTACCGAGTCAATGTGCAGGGGTACAGGTTAGTCGAGGTAATTTTTACATGTAGGTAGGGGTAAAGTGACCATGCATAGATAATAAACAGCGAGTAGCAGCAGTGTAAAAACAAAGGGGGGAGGTGTCAATGTAAATAGTCCTTGTGGCCATTTGATTAATTGTTCAGCAGTCTTATGGCTTGGGGGTAGAAGCTGTTAAGGAGACTTTTGGACCTAGACTTGGCGCTCCGGTACCACTTGCTGTGCGGTAGCAGAGAGAACAGTCTATGACTTGGGTGACTGGAGTCTTTGACAATTTTTTGGGCCTTCTACTGACATGCCTAGTATATAGGTCCTGGACGGTAGGAAGCTTGGCCCCTGTGATGTACTGGGCCGTACGCACTACCCTCTGTAGCACCTTACGGTCAGATGCCGAGCAGTTGCCATACCAGGTGGTGATGCAACCGGTCAGGATGCTCTCGATGGTGCAGCTGTATAACTTTTTGAGGATCTGGGGACACATGCCAAATCTTTTCAGTCTCCTGAGGGGGAAAAGGTGTTGTCGTGTCCTCTTCACGACTGTCTTGGTGTGTTTGGACCATGATAGATTGTTGGTGATGTGGACACCAAGGAACTTGAAACTCTCGACCCGCTCCACTACAGCCCCGTCGATTTTAATGGGGGCCTGTTCGGCCCTCCTTTTCCTGTAGTCCACGATCAGCTCCTTTGTCTTGCTCACATTGAGGGAGAGGTTGTTGTCCTGGCACCACACTGCCAGGTCTCTGACCTCCTCCCTATAGGCTGTCTCATCGTTGTCGGTGATCAGGCCTACCACTGTTGTGTCGCCAGCAAACTTAATGATGGTGTTGGAGTTGTGCTTGGCCGCGCAGTCGTGGGTGAACAGGGAGTACAGGAGGGGACTAAGCACGCACCCCTGAGGGGGCCCAGTGTTGAGGATCAGTGTTGCAGATGTGTTGTTGCCTACCCTTACCACCTGGGGGCGGCACGTCAGGAAGTCCAGGATCCAGTTGCAGAGGGAGGTTTTTAGTCCCAGGATCATTAGCTTAGTGATGGGCTTTGTGGGCACTATAGTGTTGGACGCTGAGTTGTAGTCAATGAACAGCTTTCTCACATACAGTTGAAGTCGGAAGTTTACATACACTTAGGTTGGAGTCATTAAAACTCGTTTTTCAACCACTCCACAAATGTCTTGTTAACAAACTATAGTTTTGGCAAGTCGGTTAGGACTTTACAGCTTCCAGCAAAGTTTGATACTAGCCTACATGAGATTTCATAACTTTTAAAAACCATGATCAGAGAACGACTGTCAAAGAATACAGCAAAGAGCTGCTGTTTTTATGAGTGAATTCATGTTAAAGTTTTTATTCAGCACTGTCAACACAGTTTTTATTCAGCACTATTACAAAACATAAAACGTACTCTGTACTACCACTCGCGCTGCAGCTGCAATGAATTAGTAGCCAAGTGTATCGATAGCCCTGCGTTTTTATTGTTATTAGCAGCTCGTCATGTCTATTTTAATATAGAGGAATATTTCACTTTCTCTGGTCATAGGAACAACATGAATTTGTGCATGAGGCAGATGAGCTGCGACTGGTTTTGCCATCAGGTGGAAGACGGTGTTCCCTCTCTCTGGTCAGTCTCACCTGAGGCAAGGAAGGAGAGAGCATGGACCGTGAGAGGCGGACCCGCTGCTGCTCTCTCCCTCCCTCCGCTGAGACTAATGCTGTGTTCAAAACAACAGGGAACTCTGAAAAAAACTAGATCCGACTGGGAAGAATCGTTTTGAACTGGGAATTACAAATCGGAAACTCGGGTATCTTTCTAGAGCTCAGAATTTCCGACCTGAATATCATGGACGTCATAATTGTACCTCGTTTTTTTCAGAGTTCCCAGTTGTCTTGAAAGCGCCATTGACCATCAGACGCAGGTACCATCAGTCCAGTAAAATAAAAACGCTAATTATTTCAATTTATGCTCAGCTGTGCCTCGCAAGTGCTACACCAACTGATCCATTCTGTTATCAAAGTTTGAGTTTTGAAATATAATATGGTCTGAGAAGAACAATATTGTCAGGCCAAGCATATCGCCAATATGCTGTGATAATGTATTAGGCCTACTGCACAAACCTCATTCCTACAGAACTGTTTTTATTAGGTTGTTACATTTTAAGTAATGTTTAAAACAAATCTGAGCTTGCTTTTGACTGCAAAAATGATCTTGACTCAGAAAAGGTTGGTGACCACTGATATAAGGAAATCAGTCAATTGAAATAAATTCATTAGGCCCTAATCTATGGATTTCACATGACTGGGAATAGATATATGCATCTGTTGGTCACAGATACCTTAAAAAAACAGGTAGGGGTGTGGATCAGAAAACCAGTCAGTATCCTGTGTGACCACCATTTGCCTCATGCAGCGCAACACATCTCCTTCGAATAGAGTTGATCAGGCTGTTGATTGTGGCCTGTGGAATGTTGTCCGACACCTCTTCAATGGCTGTGGAAAGTTGCTGGATATTGGCGAGAACTGGAACATGCTGTCATACAAGTTGTTCCTGAGCATCCCAAACAGGCTCAATGGGTGACATGTCTCGTGAGTATGCAGGCCATTTTCAATTTCCAGGAATTGTGTACAGATCCTTGTGACATCGGTCCGTGCATTATCATGCCGAAACATGAGGTGATAGCGGCAGATGAATGGCATGACAATGGGCCAAGGTCTTGCCACCGTATGTCTGTGCATTCAAATTGCCATCGATAAAATGCAATTGTGTTCGTTGTCCGTAGCTTATGCCTGCCCATACCATAACCCAACCGCCACCATGGGGCACTCTGTTCACAACGTTGACATCAGCAAACCGCTCGCCCACACAACATCTGCCATCTGCCCGGTACAGTTGAAACCTGGGATTCATCCGTGAAGAGCACACTTCTCCAGCGTGCCAGTGGCCATCGAAGTTAAGCATTTGCCCACTGAAGTCGATTACGACGCCAAACTGCAGTCAGATCAAGGCCCTGATGGAGGACAACGAGCACGCAGATGAGCTTCCCTGAGACAGTTTCTGTTTGTGCAGAAATTATTCGGTTGTGCAAGCCCACCGTTTCATCAGTTGTCCGGGTGGCTGGTCTCAGACGATCCCGCAGGTGAAGAAGCCGGATGTGGAGGTCATGGGCTGGCGTGGTTACACATGGTCTGCGGTTGGACGTACTGCCAAATTCTTTAAAACGACATTGGAGGCGGCTTATGGTAGAGAAATTATCATTAAATTCTCTGGCAACAGCTCTGGTGGAAATTCCTGCAGTCAGCATGCCAATTGCACGCTCCCTCAAAACATGACATCTGTGGCATTGTGTTGTGTGACAAAACTGCACATTTTAGAGTGGCCTTTTTTGTCCCAGCACAAGGTGCACCTGTGTAATGATCATGCTATTTAATCAGGTTATTAATATGCCACACCTGTCAGATGGATGGATTATCTTGGCAAAGGAGAAATGCTCACTAACAGGGATGTAAACAAATTTGAGAGAAATAAGCTTTTTGTGCGTATGGAACATTTCTGGGATCTTTTACTTTAGCTCATGAAACATGGGACCAACACTTTATGTTGCGTTTATATTTTTGTTCAGTGTATTTTTGCAATGGGATGAGTAACTTCTGTTTTGTGAAGAAGGAAAAAATCCCCCAATCACAATTCACTGCTTTCGATTTGCATCTATATATTCAGCGTCCTTATGAATCTACTCTACACGACTCACTTTCCATCTTTGAAGTATGTTTTGAGGGTGTCGCTGAAGCTTTTGGAGTATTTGACAAACTCCTTCTTCTGGTGCTCAAGAGCCTGAACACACAGAAAAGAGACAGACAGATGTGAACATAGCCTTCACAATGATATCAGCTCTCCTTGCAGCCATTGATCACATTACAGATAAGGAAGAAATACTCTGAGTGTACAAAACATTAGGAACACCTTCCTAATATTGAGTTGCAACCCCTTTTGCCCTCAGAACAGCCTCAATACGTCAGGGCATGGACTCTACAAGGTGTCGAAAGTGTTCCACAGGGATGCTGGCCCATGTTGACTCCAATGCTTCCCACAGTTGTGTCAAGTTGACTGGATGTCCTTCGGGTGCTGGACCATTCTTGATACAAAAACTGTTGAGCGTGAAAAACCCAGCAGCGTTGCAGTTCTTGACACACTCAAACCGGTGCGCCTGGCACCTACTACCATACCCAGGTTAAAGGCACGTAAATATTTTGTCTTGCCAATTCACCCTCTGAATGGCACACATTCACAATCCATGTCCTTCTTTAACCTGTCTCCTCCCATTCATCTACACTGATTGAAGTGGATTTAACAAGTGACATCAATAAGGGATCATTGCTTTTCACCTGGTCAGTTTATGTCACGGAAAGAGCAGGGGTTCCTAATGTTTTGTCCACTCAGTGTATATTCCACTTGCACGTCCCTGTGTGTGTCTTACCCTACGGTTCTGGTATTGGTATTTCTTAAAGACGTTATTGACTGTATCCAGGAGCTCCTTTATAGCGCTGGCGATGTCTCTATGGAAACCAACAACCAACACCAATCAAAAGCAGGATTTCAAGGAAATGCTAATGAAGGTGTGTGTGTGTTAGTGTATACTGTGTGCGTGTACTCACTTAATTGTCTGTAGGAAGCGTACCCTGTCGTTGATCTCGTCAGGTATCTTACTGAGGATGTGTTTCAGAGCTCTGGCTTTCTCATTTAGGTCCTGAAACTCCTGCTCTGGCCTGTCCACTAAGAACTCTACACACACAAATAAACACACACACACACACACACACACACACACACACACACACAGGGGATAGGACATAGGAGTACATTTAATAAACAACTACAAACATGCTGAAGCCCTTGTAAGCAGATGCTTAGTGCTGGTACTTTTATACACACACACCTTCCACCTCATCTGCAGCCATGCGCAGCAGAGACTCTGTGTAGTTTATCTGAACGTTTTTCTTCTCCAGAATTTTCATTATGATGTCCTGAGTTAGGCCTGGGTTCTCCCTCTCCGCCTAGCAACACAAACACACAATTAGATCTGCTGATTATTCAAGCTGTCCATCCTTGATTTAGACTACTGAGATGCAAAAAGAGCCCAGGGGTTACGTAAGAGCAAAGGTCATATATTCATGAGGTAAGGGGTTAGAGGTCATGGGTCCTGTGTGTCTTACCTTGATGAAGGCTGCTCTCAGAGTCTGGGCAGCTGACAAGTTGATCCTCTCCAGCTGCCAAACCAACACACACACACATTGTTATTGGCTGCTGACAAGAACAAACACACTCGTCGAGGGGTCAACTTACAGGAATGCCCGCTGGTCCGAGGAGGTTTTGGAAACCCTCCGGGCCAGTCAATCATCCACGTCAGTGGCTATATACACTATATGTACAGAAGTATGTGGACACCCCTTCAAATTAGTGGATTCCGCTATTTCAGCCACACCCGTTGCTGACAGGTGTATAAAATTGAGCACACCGCCATGAAATCTCCATAGACAAACATTGGCAGTAGAATGGCCTTACTGAAGAGCTCAGTGACTTTCAACGTGGCACCGTCATAGGATGCCACCTTTCCAACAAGTCAGTTTGTCAAATTTCTGCCCTGCTAGAGCTTCCCCAGTCAACTGTAAGTGCTGTTATTGTGAAGTGGAAACCTCTAGGAGCAACAACGGCTCAGCCGCGAAGTGGTAGACCCCACAAGCTCACAGAACAGGACCACCGAGTGCTGAAGCACGTAGCGCGGAAAAATTGTCTGTCCTCGCCTGCAACACTCACTACCGAGTTCCAAACTGCCTCTGGAAGCAACTTCAGCACAATAACTGTTCGTCGGGAGCTTCATGAAATGGGTTTCCATGGCCGAGCAGCCACACACATGCCTAAGATCACCATTCGCAATGCCAAGTGTCGGCTGGAGTGGTGTAAAGCTCGCCGCCATTGGACTCTGTAGCAGTGGAAACGCGTTCTCTGGAGTGATGAATCACGCTTCACCATCTGGCAGTCCGACGGACAAATCTGGGTTTGGCGGATGCAAGGAGAACACTACCTCCCCCAATGCATAGTGCCAACTTTAAAGTTTAGTGGAGGAGGAATAATGGTCTGGGGCTGTTTTTCGTGGTTCGGGCTAGGCCCCTTAGTTCCAGTGAAGAGAAATCTTAACGCTACAGAATACAATGACATTCTAGACGATTCTGTACTTCCAACTTTGTGGCAACAGTTTGGGGAAGGCCCTTTCCGTGCACAAAGCGAGGTCCATACAGAAATGGTTTGTCGAGATCAGTGTGGAAGAACTTGACTGGGCTGCCCAGAGCCCTGACCTCAACCCCATCAAACACCTTTGGGATGAATTGGAACGCCGACTGCGAGCCAGGCCTAATGTCCCAACATCAGTGCCCGACCTCACTAATGCTCTTGTGGCTGAATGGAAGCAAGTCCCCACAGCAATATTCCAACATCTAGTGGAAAGCCTTTCCAGAAGAGTGGAGGATGTTATAGCAGCAAAGGGGGGACCAACTCCATATTAATGTGGTCCTCTGTAGCTCAATTGGTAGAGCACGGTGCTTGTAACGCCAGGGTAGTGGGTTCGATCCCCAGGACCACCCATATGTAAAAATGTATGCGCACATGACTGTAAGTCGCTTTGGATAAAAGCGTCTGCTAAATGCCATATTAATACCCATGATTTTGGAATGAGATGTTTGACGAGCAGGTGTCCACATACTTTTGGTCATCTAGTGTAATTTTACTCGTTTTTGTTATTAGTTATTCACAGTGTATTTATTCCTTGTGTCACTATTTCTATATATTTTTTTTATCTTTAAAGCTGCAATATGTAACTTTTTGGGTGACCTGACCAAATTCACATAGAAATGTGTGTTATAGATCTGTCATTCTCATGAAAGCAAGTCTAAGAAGCGGTAGATCGATTCTATAGGCGCTATTTCTATGCTTCCCGTTCTTAAGTTTCGTTTTTGCTTCTTCTTACTTTCGGTTTTGTACACCACCTTCAAACACTGCACCGGTACCCCCCTTGTATATAGCCTCCCTACTGTTATTTTATTTTACTTCTGCTCTTTTTTTCTCCACACTTTTTTGTTGTTGTTGTTGTTTTATTTTACTTTTTTATTAAAAGATAAATGCATTGTTGGTTAAGGGCTGTAAGTAAGCATTTCACGGTAATGTCTACACCTGTTGTATTCGGCGCATGTGGCAAATAAAATTTGATTTGAACAGCTGAAAAGACAATATTTTTGGTTATGGAAAATATATTTCACAGCGGTTTAGATGGTAAAATGATTCTCTACACTATACTTGCTTGTTTTGTCACAAACTGAAATTAGGCAAACTATTAGAATTTTTGCAATCAGGAAATGCGATTTCTGCATAGTGCATCTTTAACTCTGCGTTGTTGGAAAAGGACCCGTAAGTAAGCATTTCACTTTTAGTCTACACCTGTTGTTTACGAAGCATCTGACAAATAACATTTGATTTGTAGTTTATTTTTATTGTATGGTTTCCACGCGTTGCCATTCCAATCTGAATAGTTTGCGAAGTGTTTGGTCCAAGCCTGCTACGTTAAGTTAAGCACAAGCTGCACATCTATAAATTATAAATGATTTGTGTATGGAGGGTAGGTTATTATAGGTTATAGGCTAGCTTGCTCAGCCCGCAAATTAAAGATAAAATCACCTGATACTTAAATTATGCACGCATTATCCACTATTCTTTGAGATCAATATGTTTTTCATTTGGGCTAGTAGCTTACAGGTCGCACTGGCCCGGTGTGCCACTGGCAAATTTACCTGAATCTATTAGACAAATACACTCACACACATTACCTCGTTAAAAACTGGGTACATGACAGCGTATAGCGTCATGGAGACCATGGAGTTTGTCTCGGTTTCAATCCTCATCTCTTCCATGGTCATCCTCCAAGGAGGAGCAGAGATAGGCAGCAACACACACTCACTTTTTCCTCTCTTTCACGCACTCACACACACAGAGAAGCTCCCAGAGTGACAAGAGCCTAGAGAGAGAGAGAGAGAGAGAGAGAGAGATTTGAAATGTCTTTATTCTTTTGAAACTTCTGAGTGTAATGTTTACTGTTAATATTTATTGTTTATTTCACTTTTGTTTACTATCTACTTCACTTGCTTTGGCAATGTTAACACACATTTCCCATGCCAATAAAGCCCTTAAATTGAAATTGAAATTGAATTGAGAGAGAGAGAGAGAGAGATTTGTGACCTGTTGCCACAAGGGCAACCAGTGAAGAACAAACACCATTGTAAATACAACCCATATTTATGTTTATTTATTTTCCCTTTTGTACTTTAACTATTTGCACATCGTTATAACACTGTACATAGCCATAATATGACATTTGAAATGTCTCTATTGCTTTTAAACTTTTGTGAGTAATGTTTACTGTTCATTTGATTGTTTATTTCACGTTTGTTTCTTATCCATTTCACTTGCTTTGGCAATGTAAACATATGCATGCCAATAAAGCCCTTTGAATTGAGAGCGCTTTGTCTATGTTGTCACGTAGACAGACCTAAGGCGTTATTAACTTCCTCTTCTACTATGACATGATTAGCTACTGTACACAAGAACGTTACCATGTAAACATTTTCGGTTCCTAACAAGCTAGCTAGCTTAGCTGTCATACATGCTTGCTAACTTTGGTTACCAACGTTTGGTAGCTAACTAGCTAGCTAGTTTGCCGATTATATGTGAATTTAGCCGGATCTTTAACTGTGAAAATCACCTAGGCATATGGCTAACTTACATTACCTATCAGTATCAGGCTACTGTAGCTAACATGTTAGTGAGGCTTGAGAAACTCGCAAATATGTGGCTAATGCACTGTGTCATTCAGTAGAGATGTGTCTAACGGTTAAATTGTGGTTATCTTAACTAACCACAGCTAGTTACCTTTCTTTTCACCTTTATAACTGTCTGGTTAGCTGCGCTGTTTTCATTAGCGTCTTGTCAGCGACACTAAAAAAGTACTTCCGGGTCACGGAATTTTGGAAACGTTCTAAATAAAAGTCCCCCACGTAATAGTAGAAAAGTGTCAATAACCTGTATTTATTCATGATATATTAAAAATAATCGTCTAAACATTAACAATGATTCATATTTGTTCATATTTATGCCCATGATTTTGGAATGAGATGTTCGGCGAGCAGGTGTCCAATTACTTTTGGTAATTTCATGAGGATCTGAATAATATGGAGCATTGCTGGCCATTTACTGTGGTCAAACTGCTTAAAATGGAAACACTGGACACTATATGGTACAAATATTGCACTGTACAGGCAAAACAATCGACTGTGTGTCCATAAAACCATGGTCCAATCTACTCACTAGAGTGAGTATGAACAAAAACAAAGTCATAGCAAGTGTTGCTGGACTTTTAATGTGGTCAAATAGCTTAAAATGGAGCCACTGGACACTATCCAGTAGAAATATAGCAATGGGCAGGCAAAGCGATCAACAAACCAATCAGATCGCACGACATAAAGACTTGTGTCCAATGAGAGGCTATAGAGAGGCTGTTCAGTGTGTGTGTGTGTGTGTGTGTGTGTATGTGTGTGTGTCACTGTGTTACTGTGTGTGTGTGTGTGTGTGTGTGTGTGTGTGTGTGTGTGTGTGTGTGTGTGTGTGTGTGTGTGTGTGTGTGTGTGTGTGAGTGTGTGTGTGTGTTTGTGTTTGTCTGTTGCTTGGTTGCTCCTCTGGTGTTACATGGGTATGTGTTTTAAATGATTAATGGAACTGTTCTGGAAGCCAGTCTGTTTCTGCTGATTTACTTTCCCTTTTCTCTCTCATCCAGTCCTCTTTGTCCTGGACAGAAGATACTATCCCCACTGCTCCCTCTGCTGAGCCACTTGAAAAAGACCATTGGTCAGTGGTTTCAATAGCATACTCTGCTAGCCTACTCAAAAATGTTTGGCTATTTTTGTATTTTCTCCCAACTTCTGCCCTTCAACTAATTACCAACGGTCATAGGTCGACTTTGACTACACTGTGCTATATTTCCAGTCTGCCCTCCAGCACAGATCTAGGATCAGATAACCTTTCCCAAGTCCTGAACTCAAATCTAGCCATACTGTGAAAAAGCGCTAAACTGACCTTAGACTAAAGGAAAGGAATGGCTTAACATGACTGAACATGTCTCAGTGTCTCTAGAAGGTACCTGGTTAGTCTCCATACAACCTATTAACCC